GCGGGCGGGGAGGCGGCGGCGGTGCGGGTGTGCCTCAGCCAGATGGGGCCGGCCTGAGATCACTTTTTCACCAAACGCCGCGGAGCCAGCGGGGCTGCTGGGATGGTTCCTGCTGCCGCTGCCGCTGCCGCTGCTAGTATTTTGAAGTGAATCCGTGTCCGCCTGCGTGCTTCCCGATGAGCGGTTCCTACCGCCCCAGCAGCCCCTTCCCTCGGCTCTGACACCGCTGGCTGCCGGGCTGGGGTGTCACACGGTCACCGCACCGCCTGCCCGGCAGAGGCACGCGTTTCTCCCTCCTCTGTTCGTGCCCGATGTGTGTATTTCCAGAGGCAGAGAGGTGTAGGTAGATGTTACGTGTGTCTTTCATTTCAGTAACGAGTTTTCCGCCCTCTCTGGGTTTTTGCAGATGACATTGTTCCCACAGAAGGAGAAAATGGACAATCTAGAGACTCTGAAGTTGGATACGATTTTTTTGGTCTTGTCTAAAAAAAAATGTACCAAGGATTTCTTGGAAATTAGAAGAGCAATATCCAAATTCAAAGCAGGGCGTGGGGAGCACTTAAGGAAAGAGAAAGAGACAAGGGCTTTGGACAGTGACTACCCTTTGGGCGTCGGTACAATCCACACATCTCTGCATTCTGATAGAAGTCTGAATCGTTCGATTTTTTTTTTTTAATTTTGACGAAGAATGTTGGAATTTAACTTTTTTTTTATTTGCCTTTTTTTTGCATGCATTCCCAAGAGGTCTTGCCTGTGAGCCACTGATGAAAGGAAATACATTATTGTGGACTTTCTTCATTCTTGAATGAAACCAACCAACCAACCAAAAAATATCCCTGTAGAGATGAAAACCTTTTTTTTTTTTTTTTTTTTTTTTTTAGGGGGGAATAAGCTGGGCTCAAGCTGTTATATACCCGGTTCCTAACTTTTTTATTATTATTATTTTTCCTCTGAGAAAAAAATAAACATTTTATTTATTTATTGATGACCCATGTTAAAATGCAAATAGATCCGGTGTCTAAATGCATTCCTATTTTTATGATTGTTTTGTAAATATCATTGTATATTATTTTTCTGCAATAAATAAATATGAATGAAATTTTAATAACCTTAAAGTTTGGTCTCTCTGAGAACTCAGGGTTGGAACTGGAGATAAATACCTGCTTGTTGAGCTGTAAAGACACCCAAGAGAGAGGGGGCACTAGTATAAACAAACCAGGCGAAAAACGCAAATAAACTAGCTACTGACAGACACAGGCACGTTATTTATTGAGACAGCTTTATTATTCTGCGCTGCAGCTCACCGCATTTGGGGGAGGAAGATATTCTCTCTGCTCTCTTTCTCTCCCTCTCCCCCTTCAATCTTAACGCCAAGCGCCGCAGGGTTTCTGCGGGGAGCGGACTTTTCGCCGCAGAGCTCCAGCGCTGCCGCTCTGCTTTGCCCCCCAGATGTAAGGCAGGAGCAGGGCCCATTCCCCAGCCCCCGGCGCAGGTATTTTTGCTGATCTCCCTGAGGACGAGGCATCGGTTTTACACAGGGATTCGTCCACCCACAGGCAAAGCGAGAGAAAGCGAGGTTCAAACAGGGAAGTGTCTAGCGAGTGGGGTTTTCCGGTGGAAGTGATGTTTGACTGCTCTGCTCTCTAGGGTTTTGTATAATATATAGACTAGCGATCACATTTTCGTTGTACAAAGCACGGAGGGATACGCTAACCCGCCCTCTTCTCCTTTTCCACATGTAGGGCGCACGTTGCCTCTGTTTCTCTTCACCATACCCTCCGCGGGGTCCCAGTGTGCGGCGACACCCCAGTTGTAAGAGAGAGGAAACCTCCAGCTCTGAGGGCTCGGAAGGAAGGTGGCAAGGGAAGTTGCTCAACAACAACAAAAAACCCCACCAACCCAACCCAGCCCAAACCTTTACAACCGGACAGCTGATTCCGCCTCTGCTGTCACTCGCTCACCTCCCAGGGCTTCGCAGCCGGCCCGTTCCCGGGGAGCGGCGCCTCCTGCCCCTCCGCGGCTGCGAAGAGTCCGCGGGTGCGCAGGGGCGTCCGCCGCGGAGCGCCCGCCCCGGCCCTGGGAGCCGAGCGGGGTCCCCCGCGGAGGCAGGGACCCTGCCGCCGGGATTCAGCCAGTGCCTAGGGTAAATAGGATGGGGTGTTTTTTCAAAACAGAGCCTGTTTGCATAGCCCAGGTTGAGTTGACTTTATTGCCTGAATGTTTTTGTTTCCGTATCCACATATTACCGTCTGTTGCTGACATAACAGTATTATAAATTTAATATCGTGCATATTTTAGGCCAGCGCGCAATGTTTAGAGAGCCGGCAGCGCTTGGTTGCACTGCCGGCTTAGCGGGGACTGGGAAACGGGATGGGGGGTCTGGTGGTCGCGGCCCTCCGTGACAGAGAGGAGGGGGAGCGGCTGCGAGGTCCCGGCGCGGGGGGGGCCCTGCCTCCCCCCGGAGCCCCGGCACCCCCAGCTCCCTGCTCAGCGACTCGCACCTCTCGAAAACGCCCGCTCCCATGCCCCCCGGCTGCCGAGGAGGAGGTAATGTCCGGCCGCGTTACTTCGGCTGCAGCAAAAGCGAGGGGCAGGGGGAGCCGACGGGGGGCTTTGGCCGTGGGGCTGGGTGGATTTGAGGGGTTAGAGGTGGTTTCGGTTGTTTCTTTGGGGGGGAAAATCACACAGGGGGAAGGGGGAATGCTGCCCCACGTTTAGGAAGAAAACAGGTTCGGGAAAAAAAGAGAGGAGCTGCTCGGTGCTGAGGGGAAGGCGCGTTTCGTGGACGGGGATACCTGCGAAATATGAATGAGGCATCAAGTGCATTTTAAAAACCACGGGCCAAGCTGTGCTCGCCCTTAGAAATCCGGAGCAACTCCGCTTGATGGACTTAAACCTGATTGACTCTGTCACAACCAGCGACAGGCCTCTGGCACAGCCTGTGCTAGCCCTTCCCAGCAAGCTGGAGCACTCGGGTGAGAAAAATCCCCGATTCCTGTCCCTGGGGCTCATACCACCGGCAGGTCTCCCCACCTCACCCCTGGGCCCTGCCGGCGCCGCAGCCCTCTCCGAGCACCTGGGTGCTCAGCCGGTGCGCTTTCCCGGCTGCGAACCCCTACCTTTGCTTCATTTAAAAAAAAAAAAAATCGTAAAGAGGAGATAATCCTGATTTAGAAACACAAACGTGCCCTTTCCTGGGTTGGAATTGGGGACTGCAGAGGTCTGGTGCTCCTAGGGCTAGAGCCAAAAGCGATTAAGTCAGAGTCAGGCTTACTGAAGTTAAAAAAAAAAAGTATATTAATTTGTCTTTTGGGAATTTTAAACACTCTTGCAATCAGAAAATGAACTCTGCCTTTCGAAGTCCTGACTGATTTTGCTTCTTTCCCCGAGGCATCAAAGCGTCCCGTTTATTCGCAGAGAAGCAAAGCCGAGCGGAGAAGAGGTCCGGGTCCAAGCAGCTGCCCCGTCTCGTCGCCGCGGCCCCGGCCCCGGCCCCGGCCCCGGCCCCGGCCGGGCCCCGCG